TGGATACACTTTGACAAAAGGACCGCACCCAAGACCAACCTCCTATTTGTCCATTTCATGAACATCTTAATAAAACACTGGAATTCCAGCATTGCTCCTGTCTTTTAAGAAATGAATAGTTTATCATTTGGGGCACATTTTTTTCTTTCTTCTGTATGTGAATCACATATTTCTGCTTAGCTGGAAAACATTTTGTCAGTTATCAGGGGCATAGCTGTGGCCCCTGGTTTCTAGGGCCGAGCACACCCGCTCATAACAAGAGTTGTGTTTCTTGGAGGGTGTTGCTTCATTGGACTCAGTAGAGTCGCTAACTGTGATGGGGCTGTCTCTTGCAAAGACCTCAGTGGACTCTCTCCATAAGCAATCCACAGATATTTTAAAACAATAACTGTTACACTTTGGCCTGGAGGTGTGTGTTGCATTGTTGAAAATTTGTCTGCTATTTGAAGTGGCAATTTTGATTTTCAGTGCAGCATCTACACGGTCTACTACCGTGTATATCCCTATACTCCCATCATCAAAGCCCACAATGATGTTCAGGTGCCTCTGAGAGAGTGCAAGGAAAGTTGGTGTTTTGTAAAGGGAACAAGCACCGATATTTTTGCCATCTGCCAGTCTCATTACAATTAAACTGAATATTGCACCATTTTCATCCTCCTCCTCCCCATTTCGGAAACAAATGTATACCAGGTAGCGACCATCCCGAGACAACCTCTGCCGCCAGATGATCCCAGAGGCGTGAACCACCCGCAATTTACCACTGTGTAAATCTAGCACATTGATGTTTTCATCTCCCCTGGATATAATGCCTAGCTTTCCATTGGGAGAAATTTCAAAATCCTCCAGATTTTTCAAGAAGTTGTTTGGAAGTTGCACGCGCCGACAGATCACTTCATCTGTCAGACTCCAGATGTTCACAGTCTCGGCCGATGTGATAAACACAACGATATCAGGACAGTCAGGGATTAATTTAAAATTCACGATAGTGGTACCATCTTCACAGCAAAATTTCTTGGTGATACTTCCTGTCCAGAGACTGACTGCCAACACTTTGCTTTTAGTCATTCCCACCACGAAGGTATTTGCAGAGGTAATAAAGGCATTCTGCAAAGTGGTCAGAATGTTGCAGACCCTGTGGCCTGTGGCGAGCCTCCAAACCCTGGAGGCATTTTCCTCGCAGAGCGAGACCACAAATTGGTCATTGTGTGTAATCAGCAGCTGAGATATTCTCTGCCCGTTAATTCGAAAAAGGTTTTCACCACTGCTGGTGTGCCAGACATACTGGCTACTTTTGTCATCTGATGTCACCATTACATCTCCAGTGGATGTTAGCACACAGTGTTCAACTATTCCTTCATGCTTGAACACCGCTTCGATGAAGCCACTGCTGAAGTTCCACTTATGAACACAATCGGATCCATCCAGAGAGTAAATGATTTCCCCTCTAGCAGGCAACAGTAGACTTCGGATGGGTTTTCCAGTCTTATCTATGTTGGACATAGCTGTGATTATATCTATATCCCAGATGGAAAGAACACCACTGGTTGATAAAGATAGTAGCATATTGTGGTGACTGGATTTCACTAACTTAACAATGGAACCTGAGATTTCCCGCAAACTTGCCATACACTGTCCCGTGTCCCGCCTCCAGAAAAACACAGCTGAGGTATTTTCCATGGTGGCGATGATGCAATCTCCATTTTTAGACAGCACGGCAGATATAAAGCGTTCATTGTGCTTGGCTCTGAACTTTTCAGCCACCTTCCACAGACCAGTATCTAAGAGCTCAATGCTGAGGGCTTTACAGATCAGAACTGCACTTTGGTCTTCTGAAAGCTCAATGCTGACCACCTCGCTGTCTTCTCTTCGGCAATCAAAGTCATCAGTCAGCTGGGGGCTGGAAATGTCCTCGGTATTCCAAACAGAAAGACTTCCTTCACTGTCTACCATGACCATTTCCTGAGCCGTGTCCAATATAAGAAGAAACTTCACAAATCCACCTGAAAATTCTGATGACACTGTACATAACTTTTCTCCACTCCCTAAATGAAATATGGTGGTTGTGTTCAGGTATTGGCCACAGAAAGCATACAGACCATCCAGGGAGCACTGGACACACGTCACTTCATACCAGCAGTGGAACTGGTAAAGTGGCCATCCATACAGCAGATCGATGACAGTGACGTCTTTGCTGGCTTCGAGCCATGCAAGGGCGTGGTTGGCGGACAGTGTAAATCCATTGATGTAGGTAGCGCTGCTTCCATGCTTAGTCCCCTTGATTTCTACTTCAGACAGGAGACAAGAATTGACATTGTCATAAATCAACAAGGTGTTATTTGTTGTAGCCACCACAAGGTACTTTTCATCACTGGTGAGTTTCATGCCCAAGATGACAGACTGGGCTGTGGTAATCTGCCTGAGTAGCTGTCGAGTCTCTACATCCCAGGTGCTGATGGAACCATTTTCTAAAGCTGTGAGGACAGTGCTGGGGTTACAGGTAGGCAGGATCTCTGTGACATGCAGGTGACTGGATGATAAGGGAAGACGCTCTGGGCTGTATGTCACATCCATGGATGAATGCAATGGTACAATGGAGCAATATTTGGGCCCGTCTTTGTCACACTCTAAAAGAAGATGTCTAAGTTTGGGCAGGGAGCTGACAACAGGCAGCAGTCTTTGCTGAAGCTCTGCTGAAAGGGAGCCGGGAAATGCAATGACCTTGTTTTTGATGCTGCGGAGGGTGCTGGCCAGGAACTTCAGCTCCTTCTCTTGCGAGTAGTTGTAAGCCAGCTCAATGTCTGAAAGCACTTTGTCAAACTGGCCAATTTTGATCATGGTATAAAGCCAGCTGAAGTTCATGATGATGCCATAAAGCAGGTCATCGGTTTTTCCACACCTCGTCAAATGGTACAAAAGCTCAGACATTTTCCGATGATTGACGAAAAAGATGTCAGGTTCCAGGGGATTACACTGGAAAACCCAGGGCTGGTCCGGAGCCTGCCTGTCAAAGGAAGCCTGTTCCATGAAATGCTTTTCTTCCTCCAGCAAGCTTCTGCTCTCCAAGTCAAGGCAGCCATTCAAGTAGGGATCCTCGAGGCAGAAGGCTTTCCTCCTGCCCCCTGACCAAACCCCCAGAAAATAATCTGCTAGGATGGTGTGCATTTCACGCAGGTCATTGTCATCCTGCAGATATAGCTTCTGGGCTATGAGATGCAGGTGTCTGTTGGCCCAGACTAGGAGTGTGACATTTTTCACATGCCTTTCTATTAGGTATCCACTGAGACCCTCCTTGAGCCTTGCAATGTACAAAAAAGGTACTCTCAGGGGATTGCTGGGTCTGGTGTTTTCATTGAGCTCGCTCATTACACTGTTGTCTAGGGCTAACACATCCTCCAATTCCATTTCACTCAGACCCATTTTGGCCATGGTGATGTAGCCAAGAGCCCTAGAGACCAGTTTCTGACCACACTTCTTCTCCAAGGACCAGAATAACTGCTCTATACTTTCATGAACGGTGACAGCGAGGGAGGATTCATCGACATCTTTGTGAGATCTCCAGTGTCTCACCTCCCTGAAGGTCAGGTTCACAAACATTGGCAGTGTGCACTTGGAGAATGCATTGTTCACATAAATCTGCTGGCCTGATGTGACCTTCCTTTTGACACGCAGCAGCTGGTGTTTGAGAACCTGGCTGCACATCTTCCTGTCTCGGGGAATCAGCTCGATGTAGTTGTCTTCTTCATGGATAAGGCACCTTAGTTTCTGCAGGATCCCGTGTTTGTTGGGCAGTGTGGAAAGGACTATCCGGACAAAGCGGGGCAGGTGAGCTGGGAGCCACCAAAGCTTCCTGGCGTCATCATTCTCTGAGAGCTGCTCTAGTGCATCGAATATTATGACTAGAGGTCTCTGCAGTGAAGACTCATTCAAAAGATTTATAAATAAGTCACAGAGGTCATGGATCTTCTTAGGGTAGCTTTGAACCAGACACCGGTAGTTAACTGCCAATTGTTCACAAACACTTAGAAGGAGAGTCCTAAGGTCAGAACTCATGTCTGTCGTTCCTAGAAATCTCACGATGACTACTGGGTCAGATTCTGGTCCTGTGTCCTCATGTAGCCAGCCATAAGCCTGAAACACAAAAGTGGAGTTTAGAATGGTAATATGTATTCACACGGTCATATGTGATAACATTGCCTCTCTCCAGAGCTCAGACTTCTGGTCAACCCTACCGTGCAGAAAACAGCCTAGGACCCAAAATTGGAAAAATCTTTTAAGAAGGCCAAAGAACTGCCACGAAGCTTGTGTACCAAAATCTACAGATGAGACCCTCAGGATTACCCTTACTGAGTGTACTAAAGTAGTGATAATACTATTTTTCACTCATTAGGCAACATTTAGCTTGTATTCCAAAAGATACGAGGTGTTTCATGAATTATAAATATAAATATCTAGTATGGTCAGCTTTGTATCACTGAATGAATATCCATTTCCTGGTGCAGCTCTTGGCACACAGTAGGTCCTTTGTAAGTGTTTAATGAATGGATTAAGTAATGATTTGCATATTATATTAAGTTAAATATATGCATTAATTGAGAGCATATAATGTCACATATGGCTAACCAAATTTCCAATTAATTAGAAAGCAATAAAAATATTCAGTACTGAAATTACTCTGAATATAATCTTTTATAATTTAGAGATAATTTTATGGTGTTATAGGATCATAATTTTGATTATTATTTATCTGTTATAAAATCCACATAACGGTGGTTAAAAGAGATTTGTTAAATGTTGTGCTTTGTAACAGATAGTTGATTTTATATACATGCAGCCATCAGTCCTCACATTGTCTCTTTGAAGGGTGGATGAGCTTACAGTGTCTTTCAATAGGAGAGGAAACTGAGGCCCAAGCTGGATAAATGACTTCTCAGAGTTAAATTGTCACCAAGAGACAAAACCTGAGTAGAAGTCATACCTGACTTTTCATTCTTTCAGTTCTTAAAAACTCTGTGGCATTAAAGGATAAAATATGTGAGGAACCCACTAAGTTCAGTCTTTCTGTTTTGAAAGGTCAGGATAAGAAGAAATATGCCCCCAAGGCATAAAATACTCCAATGAGTATTTTTAGGAAAATAAAGTCTTTCAGTTATCCTTGGAATTTACAAAGGATATGCCTTAGATAAGGCAGAGTGATTTTACATATTAGGAGGGAAGTTTGTGAACTTTGGTTCCTCAAGAGAGATAGTTCAGGTTAAGGCATGAATAAGATTAGAAAGATTTATAGAGGACAGTTTTATAAGGAGCTATTAAGGAAAATAAACTCTTTGTTGCTGTTGTTGAGCCTCAACCTTTGAAGCTGATTTCAAGGAAGATAATCTTGTCACTCAACAACTATCCTTTGGTGGTAAATCTGAAAGCACCTGTTTGTTTGTACATTGATTGCTTATGATAACTATAGGCATCCTCCTCCCAGTCACATGTTGCTGAACACGTGATGTCTGTAGAGAGCAGCCCTACCATCACGAGTTCATGCTCATGGAAATGCTGGGTGACACATGAGATAAAAATGAGATATTTATCTGCATTCTCAAAGGGACATGAGGTCACAGAACAGTACAGGTTGTTGTTGACGGTGAGTCAGACATTCCCCAGGAGAAAGGTAAATGAAGCGCAGGCAGGGGATGTAAAAAGAGGCACAGTTTCTTGGAGGACCCGACTCCTGGATAGACAGACTCAGGCTATTGGACAAAATATCCAGAAGAGCAAGAGCTCAGAAAGCCGTTCCTTAAACTGACCAACTCTGGACAGTTACCACACTCTGCCTCGCTGGGACTGCTTATCTGTGCAGGGAATCAGCACGCCCCACGTAAGTGTTGACCTCTTGTGCTAGAGCATGTGGAGACGCATCACATGAACCTTTGACTTAGTCAAATTGAACAATATTTGTTTCCTCCAACCGCCTGTATGCTCCTTTCCTCCACAAAGAAAAGGGCCCTAGGGTGAGTAACCAAATGGCATATGTGAATGTTTACTCATTTGGTTTCAGTTCTCATGTGCCCCTCGTGGTGTTACTATCTTGCTTATTTGGAATAATTCTGAAGTTTGAAGATACAAATTCGTGTTCAAAGGCACACAAACATATGCATACACAATTTGTGTGATGCAATGTGGACCCTAAATACAAATCTGCTACTTCATCTAGTGCTTAATTAAAGAAAAAGCTGTATCTTCTAACACAAGCAGAAAACCCAGCTGGGCTTGATATATTAAGAAAAAGCAAATTAGACTTCCTATGGACTTTTCAAAGGTAAGTGGAATATACCTGATTTCACCTATGGGCTTACTTTGGAACCTAATCCTCACATACAGTGCAATGCAACTCTCTCTGTTCTTGTCCTCAAGAGGACCAATTTGAGATTATGTAGCACATGACAGGTTATGAGAATATTCATGAACTTAAAGAAAGTTCTAGTCTTAAGAGAGTCACCATAGGAAGAACAACACAGAGCTTCAGAATTAACACCATAATAAAATAAACCACCACACTTTGACACTAAGGGAAGAGGAGGTTAAAAATAATGGAACTAGTTTCATCCTGTTTAGGCTGAAGAGCCAACTCAGCAGATACTACATTCCAGAGTGAGGTTCCAGACCATCATGCAGGAGTTGAAAGGGAGGTTCTGAAAACCAGTTTTGCTACTGTTAATAGATTACCAACTGCTAGCCTGAAAAAGAAGACTGGAGAGGCAGGGAAAAATGGTGGGGATCAGGGTGCTGTGGGTTGTTTCTCTCACCTCCCCCTCCCTAAAAGGAGGTCAGAGAGATGCCTGTCTTTGACTTCTAGCCAAGAGGAAGGGACTTTAGTGGACCATCTATGGAATGCCCCCTATAGCTTGGGGATACAGGCATCTGGTACCTAGTGACATCTGGAAACCAAGAAGGCTGAGTGACTGAGGCTGCCTAGCTGCTGTGATGGAGAAGTGAGACAGAGCTGCAGGGCTGGGACTGACCCGGAGGTCTAGAGTTCCTCAGAGCAACACAATACCTGAGTGTTTCCCATGTGCTACATGTGGACAGCAGGCTGCAATGAATGGACAAGCGTTTCTGTTTGTCTTGTTTTTCCCAGGTCCTATCTAAGGAGTGTGCTGGGCTGTAGAGACGATCTTAGCAGGAAAGTACTGGAAGCACATTGCTGGATGTCTAGGAGCTGAGGAAGTAACCAGCTAGAAAAAAGATGCATTCCCCTGTGTCTAGGCAACTGTAGGTAAGAGATGCTCAGGGAAGACAGGGCAGAGGTACGGGAGGGGAAGGACCTCCAGGAAGCCATGAAAAGGCCTCCAAAGAGATGGGAGGCAGCTTTAAACATGTGCTAAGAACAGAGAGTTCACAGCCCAGTTCAGAACAGTACTGGTTATGTAAGAACTTTCTGGCCACCTTACCTTTCCTATATACTCTAAACTGTAACTTTATAGGAATCATAAATGTCATTGGGATTAGGAAAGAAGAGAAAGAAGTGCCATTTCCCATTGTAGGTGCCTTGTTTATGAGAGGCCCCAGATGGGGAAGAAAAGTGTAGACCGATGTTTTCATTTTCACCTTAGACTGGACATACTCATTACTGAACTGAGACTGATTTAGCACACAGGAGTGGCCAGAGGGCTTGTCTTGTCTGAAAGGGATGAGAACAGTTATTGAGATTGGCCTAGGTTTTCATCCAAATGGGGTGAGGGACAGGAACTAGCCCACAACATGAGTCTGAACAGTGAAAGAAAAAAATAAACTTGCTTTCCAGTTGTATTCCATGAGTTTTGCTCTCTCAATATAACTGTCACACCAGCAAAAAAGAAGCACTGAAGTATTCACTCCTAAAAGACCAACTCTAATTCATATAGGAAACGCAGAAAGTAGAAATGAATTTGATTAATTTACCATTTTCCAAAGGTACAAGTTTTTACAAATATACACAGGAAAGAATAGGCTTTTACCTTCTTTGCTACTTCAGCTAGCAGAAGGGTCTTCCCAGTGCATGGCCCACCATATATAATAAGAGGGTTGATGTGTCCAGTTTTGCTTGGAAGAATGTAGTTATGCACTATGTTTAGAGATTCACATTTGTACTCATAGAAGGAGGCGTATGTTTTACATAATGATGAATGTTGAAGGATTTCGTCATAGAGTGTATCAGTTTCAGTGTCAAAATTCTGTTGTACCGTTGCCTGAATTATGTCAATCATGTCCTCATAAAATTGTTTACCAAGTCCTTCGATGTAATGATTTTCTATTTCTTGGGAGTAGCCTAGTTTCATGTCACAATGAGTAACAGATGTGTACACTCGCAGATTAGATGATGCAACAATAGTAGGAATAAATTCATCCCTGAGTTTTATCAGCTTCTCTTGGGCCTCTGGGTCCCGAATAATCCTCGGTTCTGTTCCAGTTATATCCATGTATTTTCCCATCTCTGGGATTTTCACAAAGCGCTCAATGTTAGCAATTTTCCTAATGTAGCAAACACACTTCTTTAGAAATGCTGGAGTTTGTTTTCCCAGAGCAAAGTCAAACTCATCCTCTATAGCTGAAAGAAAATATAACAAGGAATTTATTGCTTAGAACAAAGGAGCAACACACCCACATTCTCAATAGTCAATGCTTAGTCATTAGTGGTAAATTATTTTGCTTATGGTTTATAGCGAAGTAATCTTTAGAATAATTTCCTGATTTCTTATTTGTCTTTTCCTAATCAGCCAGCAACCCAGAAGAACAGGTTTTACATAAAATTATCTAATTTTCTCCCCAAGCATAGGAAGAGGTTGGACATAAGCATAATAAAGAAAGCATATCAAATGTATAGTGGATATTTCTAATATCCACTATTTCTAATTGCTGCTCAGTTTTCCTCTCAGACTTCAGAGGTTCTCAGTGGGAACAGCAGGGACCCATTTGGGCCAGGAAAGAAAGAGGAGGAGGCTGAAGGATGTAGCTAGTTAACCGTTCCTTGTCAGCCTTTCCTTAACAAAGTGACCTCACCATTTTGTTTGAGGTGTATTGAGTCCTAGTCAGATATGATCAAATATCAATACAAAAGCACATTTTTGTTTTTCTTTTTTGAGATGGAGTCTCGCTCTGTCGCCCAGGCTGGAGTGCAGTGGCTGGATCTCGGCTCACTGCAACCTCCACCTCCCGGGTTCACCCCATTCTCCTGCCTCAGCCTCCTGAGTAGCTGGGACTACAGGCACCCCCCCAAGCCTGGCTAATTTTTTGTATTTTTAGTAGAGACGGGGTTTCACTGTGTTAGCCAGGATGGTCTCGATCTCCTGACCTCGTGATACACCCGCTTCGGCCTCCCAAAGTGCTGGGATTACAGGCGTGAGCCACCGCGCCCAGCCCAAAAGCACATTTTAAGGCAAAATATAATCATATTCTGATGACTGATTAATCTGGGTGATCTATGTCACTGTTATAATATCCATCGGAACAAATACAAAAAAAATGACTTAGTATATAACTTCATTTCTTCTAAAATATAACATATTATGGCTTACAACACATATACTTGCACATAAGTAAATATACATTATAATAATTTGTCTCCCCATAAGAAAAATTTAAACTGGATCAGTAGTAAAATGTGTAAAAAATGTGTAAAATCAGCTAATGGAAATGAATTACAAAGCAAGCAGTCTTAAAATTGGCTGCTCTTCCTTTCTTCCTCCTTCCACATCGCTTTCCTTCATCTAATTGCTCTTCATTGAACACCTTTTATATTACAGGCGTGATGACAGCTGCTTAGGATACAATGGTGAGAGAAAATAGAACATTGAGAAAAATAATCCATTATAGAGTGCTATAAACTGAATGTTTGTGTCTCCCAGAAATTTATATGTTGAAACCTAATCCCCAGTGTGATAGCATTAGGAGGTGGGGTGTTTGGGTGATTTGTTCATGAGGGCAGAGCCTTTATGAATGAAAGTCATGTTCATATTTAAAAGAGATCTCAGAGAGTTCCCTTGCCTCTCCTGCCCTATGAGGACACAGCAAGAAGACAGCCACATGGAGTGGGAAGTTGGCCCTCATTAGACACAGAATCTGCAGGTGCTTTGATCTCAGATTGTGAAATTTCTGTCAGGGAGGCTCTGAATACACAGGGCTGGTCTGGCCATAAATTGAAAAAAATTATATGCTAGCCATAACTCCAATGTCAAGCAAAATCTAGAATATATATACATATATTCTATAATGTAGCTATTAAGAAGGGTGAGAATTTTATTTTAAAATGATGCCTTTCAGTGGGACTCTTGTGATAATATTTTTTCAGTCATGACAGCCTTTCAATGGAAATTTTCAACTCAAATGAAAAAGTTATTTTCGTAGCTGCCAGTGTCTAGTAAGCTGTGTCATGAGCATCGGTACATTTTACAAAGGATTTTAATTGAGCACGCTGGTTAAGGAAGCCAGTTAAAGGAGCTTATAAACATATGTCTACTATTCTTTTTAAGGAAGAGTAAGAACTTGCTATAAAGTAGATAAGGGAAGATGCCAGAAATCTGGACATCATGAGCTACTAGCAGCCTTGGATCCATCTCTTTTCTAGTCATCTGTGTAAAATGCTAGCAGGTTGGATTAGCAGCTTGCTACAGTCTGAGAGCATCATGAAGAGAAAGGAAGAGGTCAAACTGTATTATCTATATATAATGCATTATAATCAGAGATATGCTCTGCCACCTTTGACTCCCAGGAAACAACTCAACTCTAACTTGACGTTGTTATCACATTTATGGAAAGAGTGTATCAAGCAGAAGTGTTGATCATAAATGGAGCAAAAAAAGAAATACAGATAAACCAATTTGGCAGAGCCCATCTAAGCTT